ATGTGTTTCTTTCATTTCTCTCATGTGGAGCATTTTTTCTAGCTGCTTTTTTGGGAAGAATGTATTTTTCTAAAGAGCGCTCTCCTTTAAGTGGGCGTGTTAGAGCAAGCAGCAACAGAAAGCAAAGAAACCAACAAATACGAACCATAAACGAACATCTTTGAGGTGCCTTTGGACTTTGTGCCCCTAGTAAACTCTGCATTGGGGCTTGTGGGTGTAAAGTAAACAAAGAGTCCAAACGTCTTTCAACATCACTGCTGGAGGAGCAGACAAAGAGCCGTAATAACAGCTGAAAACGCACAAGCGTATCAAACTCTCCATTATGTTTTGAACCACTGTAAACAGGCTGACAGACTGGCACCGCGGTGAAATATGCAGCTTGTTTTGTTTAACGGGCCTACAAAGACTCCCGCCCGACATCAAAACGCCCGTGCAGAAGTTGGTACAAAGCTATCCCAGTCGATGTAGGGAGGCGCCTGCGAGTTTAAGTCTCAGCGGTAGTCCTGTGTGAGATTGCATGTTTGCTTTTCTTCTCCACGCTTTCAGATTTCTTTAAACTCTAGATGAAACTGCAGAGTTGTGACAAGCAACACTGCCTCTTCTCCCCTCAGCCAGGACCTCCCCTCCCCTCCCCTCCCTCCCACCTTCTTTTTAGCATTTCTGGCTCCGCTCCTGTATGCAGGTCAGGGTACTTAATTCATGTCCAGAGACATCCTTTCTACATTGCCCAACACGCCGTGCGAGGGAAGCCGACCAGACTGAGCCGGTGCGATACGGGAGAACGCTGAAAACACTCCCCGACGGACCCGCTGATAACCCTCCTCCCAAACCACAGCTGAGGAACGCTGGCGGCCTGGATATCGCCCAGCCGTCGAGGAATAATGAGAACAAAAGCATAACACACAGTCGCCTTTCTCTTCTCCCCCCCCCTTCCTCTCCGCGCTCCATCCTCTGTTATCCATCTTGTGCCATGTCCTTCTTACACTCGCCAACAACTGGCCTCAAACAGTCATTTCTCCCTTTATCTTACAGTTAACCCGCCACAAAGACGTCCAGCGGTGCAGGTTCTCTGTACCTTATCTGTGAAAGGGGGTTTTATTGGAATCAGGGATGCACTAATGACGGTTCCAGTTCCAGCCTTCTTTTATTTCCCTCCACTTAAAAACTCTGCAAACTAGTTAACAAGACAAACAGGTTTTGCACAAGTTGGTATTTTAATTAAACTGGTGCAATAAGCATTCATGAGGCACCAGAGACAACAAAGAGACATCAGCCAGTTTGTTATTGATACTAAGGAGGAACAGCAGCAGCACAAAGGCCTCTTTTCTGTTTTTTACTTAACTTACACCCTATATATATATTCCCTCTGTATAAGAGATTGAATTATTGAAAGCAGGTCGTTTTGTATTTCAAACACCAGCTTCTGAATGTTGATTATTCCCATTAGCTGTTTGCATTTCAAGCAGCAGCAGTAGACTCCATCATACAGTGAGGCTGAGTCGATTGGCCGCATGGTTTTGCTGCTTTTGGCTTCAATGTGTCATAATTACCATAAATCTATCTTCATACCCAATAACCATAACTTTTACGATACAAATCTGATTTTACTGCATCCTCACAAGAATAAACCACGGCTATAACTTTCTCACAGCCTTCAATATAAAGAAATTATGGGTATAACCAATGGAAAGCTAATAAACGCCTTATAGTTAACAGTTTTAGAGCTTCCGCTTTGTGTGCAGATAAGTCAGAAGGAGCTGTCTGACCAAATGAAGTTTGTTTTTTATGTTGATACAGTTAAGCCCAAAATTAATATTGTTTCCTTTCAACCAGGAGACAAGAAGAACAGACATCTTTTTAAAGAAAGTGATCCATTTTGAAACGTATACTTTGAAACTTATCGTTTTGTCTTGATTTAAAAAAATATGCCTCCACCTTTAATGGGATATTACAAGAAGAAACTCCTTCTTTTAAACTGCTGAGTTGTTTTTTTTGTTTGTTTTTTGTTTTTTATAATGGTGATGAGCTCCAAGTGAGGCTAGAAGGCCATATTTTATTCAGGAGTGGGCCCAACTCACTGGCTAAAGTCTATGGAACAGGATTAAAGACTGAAAAAAAAAAGGAAAAAACAACATTTCTGACTTTACTCTCATAAATCAGACTTTAATCTCACAGTTATGACTTTAATATCAGAATATTATTGTAGAATTAGAGCTACTTGTGATATCGAGGTGATAATCTTGGGCTTTCGAAGTCCGGAGTAATTTTACTTTTAAATCTGAAAGTCTTATCCTAGTGTTTTACAAAGGATTGTTTCTGTTTTCCCTTAAAATATTGAAAACACATTAAAGATAAAAAACCAAAAGCACTCAGAAAGCATAGATCTCTGCTAAAGAGCTATTTTTCCTGCCTCACAATCTGGTCAAGCTTTACATTAAGGATCCCACTATGGATGGCTAGTAAAGACTTTTTAGATATTTTGAATAATAAACAGTTATGCATGAGTTATAAAGTGTTAATTAATAATGTATTTACAGGTAATTTATGAGGGAGTCCTTTCTGTAAAATGGAACAGGACAAAATGTTAGATCTGGATCATGTTCGGATCACTTCCAAAATGTAATTTGTGACATGTAAGAGATCATTGTCATATTATCTCTGACTCATTTTTTGTGTGATTAAAATGAGATCTGAGCTACTTAAAGTAGCTGAAAGAAGCAAAACAATGTCTTGAAGGAAAGCACTGTTTTCTGATACAGACTGAGGTCTCACATTTAAAAAGGTGACCCAAGAGGTCTCACAACCTCTGCTTATTCTTATTATTAAGATCTGAGGGCAAGGAATGAAAATGGAAAATCCTAAATTATAATCCAAAGTCTCCATAAAAGTAATTCATAATTACTTTTATGGAGACTTTAGATAAAGAAAACAACAGTTATTCTACAGCACTACCCAGCTCACCCCTCACATATTTTTTCAGTTTTTTTTTTTATCAATCAGGTAAAACTTCATCGGTCATTAGACACACAAATACTCCTGACACTGTACAAGCAAGCTGTATTATGTCATTACTGTTGTCTTGGCAACCACAATGTTTTAAGTCATTGGGAAAAATTCGTCCAATCACATATCGTAACGTCACTGGGATGCACAGGACCCTAAGCAGATCAGACCAGCTTCTACTACAGAGGAACTTGATCTCCACAGACAGCTATAGACTCGCTCAGGGGTCTGCAACCTGCGGCTCCAGCGTCACATGTGGCTCTTTGGATCCTCTCCAGTGACTCTTAAAATGTATATAAAGAGCTAAATAATTTACTATAATAAATACCACTATTAAAAGCTTCAGTGTTTTTATAAGATGGAAAAGAATTATATTAAAAGAACCAGAAATATGTTTTAAGAGCCATTTTTCCTTTTAATTAGCCTGGATGATGTGTTTTAATATTATTTTAAAAGCTAAAATTCTATACATTTCCTTTACCCGCAAAATAAAAACAAAAAACTTTTTTTTTTTTTAAGTTATACTTTGCGGCTCTAAGGAACTTTTACTTGGTGGCACTCGAAGCAAAATGGCTCAACTAGCTTGAGCTAAATGTCTTTAGTTACTTTTTCCACAGCTCTGTTGCCCCCTAGGGAAGGCAGCCTCACCCTTCTTCTTCTAACGGTTGGCAAGCAACTTATTGATGAGCATTACTGCCATCTACTGGTATGGAGTGTAGATTTGGATGCTACGTAAATATTTCCCCCCAAAAATTTAAAATAATAATTAAATAAATAAAACTTATATCTTACTTATATCTTTCGCTTTCGCTTTCTTAAGTTAATTAATTAAATAACAAAAACATTTAGAAGTAGAAAGTCCAAAATATCTTTTATATTTATCTGTAATCTATTTTTTTTAATCAATATACATATTCCCTTCTCTCAAGAGAATATTTCTGCCCCATCTCACAGTTTTATGGAATCCTTTAAAATGTCCTAACCCACCAACATGTAGCTGGTTCTAAGTTGGGCTAAGACGCCTGTGGTATAGACTCCGGAACAATCATGAAAATTAGTCTGTTTGTTACGTTTTTAAACAATTAAAAGATAAACAACTGGAAAAACGTCCTATTCTATCACTGGATCGACCAGCCGTTTAAGCTGAAAGCCAACTCTGGTCACCAGCTTCCACTTGCAATTCATTCCTGCATCTTTAAATTCATCTTACAAAGACCTGCATTAGTTCAGGGTCTCCTTTTTGTGTTCTCTTAACAAAACATGTCAGAAGCACAAAGACGCAGCTCCGTTCTCCGTATTAAAGCCATGCACTCCATAAGGTGTTGATTCCAGGGCTTAATTCTGCTCTCGTCATGCTGTACAAGATGTAAGTTCAATACAGGGGATGTGGAAAACGTCTAATCTGATATTTATCCAGTTAGGCAGCCCTCAGCCGGCCTGTCAGTCAGTTCACTGACAGCTGCTGTGTGCCCCTGAATCTATATCAGAGCTTGTGTGGATTTAATTTGATCATTTCTGTCTTGTTTCTCTTGTGTTTTTTTATATGCTTGAAGCTCTTTAGCCTGGAGTACTTTTTTTTTTATAAATGTTTAATATTTCCTTCTAAATAACAAGGGCCAACCTTAAAGGAAATGGTTTGAAAAATAAAATCTGAATAAAAAATTGATGCATTCGCTGTTTGACTCTGGCTGCATTTAGACCCAGAGCATCAATTTAAAAAACAGAAAATTTGTGATTTATAAAGGAATGAAAAGCAAAGCAGTTTTTAGGATTTCAAACTTGATTGCAGATTATTCTGTAATTCTTAATCATGATAAAATCTTTTTAGTAGAGCTTTTTCTTTTTGGTCTTAAGACCTAATCTTTGTTCAGTTTGAGCTGTCCTGCCTGTTTGAAAGCAATCTGAACCAGCATAGTTAGGCTTCACTCCTCTGCAGGAACAGACCGCTGCTTCTCCGCCCGGTATTGACAGCCTGTTTGTCTCTGTGTCCGTTCCAGGTGCTGATTGCCGACCAGTGTGAGTCCGAGCGGCCTTTCCTGCCTCAGCGGCTCGCAGCATGAGAACCGGGCTGATACTCTGACCAGGAAGCGGCAGACACGGACCACTGGGGTGGCGTAAGGCAGAGGTTTGTTGCTGTGTGGCCATGGATCAAAGGAGACTCTGTGCTCTCGTGATGCTGTGGGCCGTGGTCCACCTCAGCTCTCCGGGTTACGGCCTCAGAGCCCTGCGAAGGACTACAGGGGGGCGGAGGGGGCCGACGGGGCTGACGGGACAGGATGCCAACGGAGTCCCGCTCAGACGCTCTAAACGAGGCTGGATGTGGAACCAGTTCTTTCTGTTGGAGGAGTACACTGGGACGGACATGCAGTATGTGGGAAAGGTAAACCTCTCCTTCTGTTCATCCCATGTTTCTGTTAGGACTACTTATTAATGCTGCCTGAGTGATAACAGAGCTCCTCTGGCTGATTGAGGTTTGATTTCTGTTTAACAATAACAAATGAACTGGTACCTTAAATGTGAGGCCAGCATCTGTTTTATTAAGCTCAAATGATCAGGCTTTGTTAAACATACATGAAAAAAAGAGGAATTATCTATTAGCCTGCTACAGATTCAGCAAGAGGGAAAAAATAAACTTTAATTTTCAGTAACATATCTTTAGGTCTTTAACAAAACAGGTAAGCCGGAGGCCTTCAACAGGGGGTCTGCGGAGATACTGCATGGGGGTCTTAAAGTTTTGGTTGATTTTTTTTTTTTTTTATTATATTTCCTCTGCAATTTTTTCCACTAATTGAAATGTCTTTAAATCCACATTAACATGAATTAAAGACACTGTAGTAAAGAGATAAATGGAGGCAAAAGATGTCTTTCAGTCATCAATGCAAACATTCAGCGACACACAGGAGCTCTTTCAAGCTGGACACCGTTTCATTCACAACACCTGTCCCATCAACCAGGAATCACAATCAGTTTGATAGAACACTATTTCATACAATATATATAATGAGGGGGTCCTGCCATCTCGAATCAGGTTGGGGGTCCTTGGCCTGGAAAACGTTGAAGACCCCTGAGGTAAGCAAAAAACCTGATGGCATCTAAGGATGAGAGTTAATTTATGGGTTACATATTCTCATTCAAAGCAGAGAGAAGATATCATAGTAGCAGCCTTAGAAAGAAATGTCCAGGCTTTAGGTAAGCAGTCCAACCCACATATCTACTTTACATTCATTGTATAAAACAACAGAATGGTCTGAGAATTGTGGACCTGGATCAGTTGGGTTCATCCTCGGCTACAACTTCCACATGCCTGAAGTGCCTCGTTTATCTGTTTATCTGTGTAGAGATGGTGGGAATGTTCAGCATTCGTACGCTTCAGGAAGGAGAACACTGGTTCTCTCTTCCAAAGGCAAGAAGTCCGATTGGAGTTTTGAAATTCACTTTAATTTTTGGCGACATGTCCTCTGGTCTGATTGGACTGAATGTTTGGAATCCTACTTACCTAAAATTAAGTACGGAAGTGGTAACATCATGTTTGGGGATTTCGCAGCACTTTGCATATTAAGACATCTGCTAGGAAGTTAAAGCTTTGGTATGAATCAGCCTTCTAAATGAACCCTGAGCCAAAGCATGCTTCCAAAGTTTTTACAGAACAAGGAAAAAAGAAAAAATTGCAAAAGGTTGTTGGAGTGAAATGTCCTGCGAAACTGACCCAGCTTGATCGGTTCTGTCAGGAGGAATGGGCCAAACTTGAGGAAGGACAGAACCCAGAAAGTTTAAAGCCAAATTTATGAAATATTCAGAGAATTTATGAAATTATTTTTGAAGGTTTAAAAATTCCTCTCTGAATATAGGAAAATTTACCCCCCAAAAAATAATGTTTGATGATCCAAACACACCAAAAACAGAAAAACTTTCATTTCAGTTCCATTTGATTCCAGACAGTAAGAGAAAACAGTTTGTTTTCTGCAGTGTGTATAAATATCTGCTTTCAGTTATAAAATGTTCTCTATTTACCTCTTTCAGCAGCCTTGCAGCAGAATTAACATCATTGTATTTTTTTTATTATTGTGTAATTTACTGAGAACAAGTTAAAAACGCATTTAAAGTTCAAAGAGTTTTGGAGACCACAGGAGGAAAGAGGAAGTATTGATTAGGGCTACAAAGATGGCAGGAAATAAATTGATGAGTTAATCACAGTACTTTGTGGTTGGAAAATACCTTCATTATCGCCAAACTTTCTTCAGAGTGATGGCAGTGGAAAAGAAAATGTTGGGGCCGATGGCGGATTTGTCTTTCATTTTTCATTGCTGTGCATTTTCCCGTTTCCGGAGGACATTGCTTCTGGCTTTTGACTCGACACTTTTGACGTCTTCCTTTCTTGATCTTTTTACAATCCTTTTTCATTTCATTTGTGCCGGCTCTAAACTTTAGACACAGCTGAGTGGGAACAACTAACATCTTTTCGCCACACTCTGTTGAATTGCTTTCTAGAGTTTTATAATCCTTTCCATTATTTCAGCTGACAGCTCTTTTGTTGGGGCCATACTTCCTGTCAGTGACGCCGCAGAAGCATCTTGTTTTGTCTTTGTTTCAAACTTTGGAACAGTTTGAATATTTACATCTATGCAGGCTTTTGTTTCAGGAATGCATTTAAATGGTGTACATACCTCTAGGAGGCACTCATCTATTTATTGATCTATTTCTTTTCAGGTTTTTTGCTGGCAAGGTTCATGTCACTTTGATGGTCCTGATGAATGCCTCCATAAGCTTTTACCACTAGAAAAGTCACTTGTTAACATATTCCTTAAGAAGGTGACATGGCAACATCATAAAAAAGTAAAAAGAAACCTTCTGGTTAATGGTTATTCATGCAGACACGTCAGGGTAGTTTTACTTACTACCTTTTAGAAAATGCTTATTTACACAAAGAATCAGAAGTACAGTCCTGTTGGTTCAGTAGGCTCGTCAAGGAAACAAATAAAGGGTTGCTTTATACGTGAGCACATGTTGAATGTTTAAATGTGGAACCAAGTGCACAAAGCCATGTTCTGTTGGACAGCTTTAAAAAGACGCACCAGGCCAAAACAGGCTTTGGCATTGTCCGCATGTCCGGACTAATCACTATAAAGTGGTTATCTCATTTTAAATGAGTGTCCGAACGTCCAGTGCAGAGGTCATGGATTAGCAGACCACAGTTCGGATCTGGACCCACCTGCTGGCTAATCCGGACCCAACCTGATTTAAAACATTTATAAATTACCGCATGTTATCCAACGACAGTGTCTAAATTCACTTGCGCCTCTTCTCCTGTTAATATGGTAAAGCCATCAGGAGCGCCTGGGACCAGGCTACACGTGAGGTCATGGGGAAATTGCTCAGTGGGCAGAAGCAAGGACGCAAGGATGCACAAGGATTCTTCTTCCTCTTAGATTTAAACACAGAAGCACGGCAGCGGTGCGAGTGAAATGGAGTTCTTTCTGTTAAATTGACAGACAGCAGTAGCTACGTTTGCTCAGCCATGTCTTTGTCCAAATACGTTGCCGCCTTTTCTTTTTAGGGCTTTCAGCGCAAAAATTGCACAAATTGCCAAGGCAGCGCGTTTCACTCTAGTGAGCTTCAAATTCCTCTTCTACTCATTTGGCTTCCAGATAGACGAGTCAGAGTAGCGCCATCTTTCGGGAGCTGAATCCGACGTGGTTTTTAGTCATACAGTGTGAGCAGGTAGATCTTATCAGCGCGTTGGGGTGCATGTGAGAGCAGACATCGTGAGCTGTGACTTTGAACTGTACGATGAAACCCTGCGGTTTTATCACACATTGTGAGCTGTAGCTGCGTTCAACGATTGAAATAATCGTACAGTGTATCCCTGGCTTTAGTCGAGTAAAGCTCTGCACTGAACTGAATTACTCACCTGAAACTTTTTGGGCCAAATGTAAACACCGCCAACAAGTTGCTTCTGATTAAAGGGTGTATTAACAGAACAAAGTCTTTAAGTGGTCAAACAGCATATCATTGGAAGTGATGCTATTTTATCACTTTATTATTAGTGGGGGTTTTTTATGAGCAATAAATCCCTGACTTGTGTGGAATCAGTAAGTTTTACCAGTTGGATCACTGTTTATACTTTTGCTAAACTTAAATGCCCAGTTATTGCCTTTTTAAGTTGTGTGTTGTTTTCTTTCTTTTCTTTGTATTGTGTGATTGCTTTTTCCACTCGCCATTAGTTAAAAGAAACATGATTGAAGATTGATTTATCTGTGGGGGAAAACTTCCAGAAATACTCTCTGTGTTGTTTTGGTTGCCTTTCTTAGGCTCGTTAATAAAACCTGATGAAAAATCAGATCCATCCTCTGTAGACATAAATAGCTAAAACTCCATGACTCTCCTCTGTTTCTAAGAGACATAAATGTAAGCAAAATCTGAAACATTATCTTTTGTTATGTCCTGATCGGGAAGCAGAAAGAAAAAATTGACCCTGCTGTTCCATTAGCTTTTTTATGTGTTGCCATTTCCACAGTAGGGAAATAATGGGTATCTCTGTATCCTCCTCGGCCTTTGCTGCACATAAAAGGAAAATATTTGCTGTGTTTTATGTGCTTAAAAAAAAAAAACAATGCCTGCCACAGAAACAGAAACTGGCCTGGTCAGAAATTTCCATAAAGTCTTAATGGCCTCCAATGTCCAAATAATTGGCCTTATTATTAACATAACTTTTTATTTTTACCTTTGTGTATTTATAATAGAGCATATATTTTTAAGCATTTAGTAATCTTGCAATTATTGAGAATTTTCCCATATTCGTGCAGCTTAAAATGTAAAAATACAGACTCTAATTTATACACCCCCCCAGTTCTGTTTGGTTAAATGCTTTATGTTTACAGATCTGCTATGATTAAGGTCTGAAGGTCTGACCAGTCTTCAAGGCAGGAAACTTTATTTTCTCGGTTTACGTGCTTCACCAACTTTTAACACAGTCGAGTTTGGTGAAATTCCTGAAACTTGATGTAACCTGCTGTATCATTTCGAAACAAACGGCGTTGATGTTTGCTTGGTGGAACGGCATCAGATGTGAAAGAAATGAAAGGACCCAGAAACCGCCAAGGCTTCCTGTGAGGACATTATAAACCGGTAACTTCTGGAACACTTCTGGAAGACTGACGCCGCTGCTCCAGATCGCCAGCTTCCAGCTGGTTGAAAGGTGCAGCTGCCTAACATGAAGAAGCCACGTCTGTTCGCAGGAAAACCCCGACGGTCTGATTGAACCATTTAGTCACAAGTGCATGAATATATATTTAGAGCATTCAAGGTGACTCTAACGTGTTGGTGACAACATCGCAAAAGGGACCCTATGAAACTTGCTGTTATTTCCAAAAAACTCATGTT